AAATACATTTTCCTTACTTATATAATCATGCCTTGAGAAAAAGACTAAACCTTACTGTACACAAATAGCGATGAAACAGAAAAGAAATACACATATAAAATGAAAACTTCATAGCCTAACACAAAATCAGGTCCTTTTCTTTACATAAATTTCTTGAATGAAGTATTACTAAATGTTACAGTTTCCACGTGGCGACTTAAGAAGGTGTCCCATTCTTGCCACTAGATAACAGGCATTCTTCCCCTTTCTTTTGCTCTAATTGAGATCTGAGAGAGACTGTAGCGTGAGAACGGAATGGAAGCTCCTTCTAACAATCAAATTCTTCGTAAATATTTGTAAATACTAATAAAATGTGTTGTGTCTGTTTAAAGGAAGCCTCCTATTTTTAGTCTTACGAGTTCATATAAGAAATCCTCTCAGCCGTCCACCAAGAAGAAGAACAAAAGGTAAGTTTACCTTTTTGACATCTTTTATTTAACCTTCTAAAACAACATTTGGCGTCCGAACAGGGACGGCTTGAAGGATTTATTTATTGTATTACTTTATGATTATAAATATATGATTATTTATAAACTCTAAAAATGGAAGGTTTAAAGAAATTACCTACACCTTTAAGAAATGTTTCTACACAAATATCTAATAAATTGGAAGACTTTGTTTAAGAAAAGAAGTATATGATATAGAAGAAATCAAAATCCTAATGACACAGAAGAAAAATAGTTGAAGCTTGATTTGATAGAAAAAGAAATTATAAAATTGCTATCTGATTATCCTAAATGTTCTCAAAGTGATTTTGATAAGGCATACGATGATAGTACAATATATAGTGAAAAATATGCGAGCCTTAGAACTAAGGTACGAAGAATAACGAGTAATACTAATTCGGGGAATAACAGCACTACAGTTCAAACTGCCAAAAATTGAATTTAAAAAATTCAGTGGTGATGTTAAGGAATGGTTGAAAATTCACGATGATCTAGAAATTCTATCTGAAGATAAATTTTAATATTTATTCCAAGCCTCTGTTGAAGGTTTGCGTGCATGAGATATCGTTGATTCTTCCCCCACCCGTCGGCTGATAATTATTACCAAGTAACTGAATGCCTTAAGGCTCGTTTCAGCGAAGAGGATCTTCTCATAGAAGTATATGTGAGAGAATTGTTGAGATTACTTTTGAGTAATTCATTGAGCCGAAACAAAGCAAAACGACTCGTGAAACTGTACGATAAAACTGAAAAACTCATTTGAGAGCACTCAAGGCATTAAAGGTCACATTTGACAAATACGCATGTACGTTATACCCTCTCATTGAATCTTGTTTGCCAGAAGATGTTATTAGAGTATGGGAAAGAAGCGTAGGTTTATGTGAAACTAGTAAATCATCAAATAAACTTAATGCATTAATGAAGTTTCTAAAAATCCGAAGTAGAGGGTGAAGAGAAAATATCGCTGGCAAAGCAAGGTTTGGGTTTCGAAAGTAAGATCAAACATTCTACCCTCCCGCCATCTGCTAATGAAATGCACAACATTCCTACTGCGATTGGACTTTTCCACGCCACAGGCGCTCCGAAAAGTAAACAAACTGTCTGCTTTTTTTGCGGATAAGGTGATGATTTACGAGCATGCATTAAAATGCAACTAGATGATAAGAAGAAATTATTACAGAAATCTTGTTTTTTGCATTGCAGAATTAGGCATAGGGCATGAGACTGCAGGTCTAAAATTATTTGTGAAAACTGCCGTGGCAGACACTGCAGGGTTATGTGCAAAGAAGAAAAATTGAAGAAATGTAAAAAACAAAAGGAAAATACTCCAGAACTAAAACAAAATGTGATTGGTGATGCAGTAATAGAACCTGTATGCGTGAAGATCTTTTACAAACGTTGTATGCGAGATTATGGGGTACAAATGGAGGAAAAATAATTCGTGCATTAATCGATACAGGCTCTCGATCTTATTTAAGAAAATAAGAGTATCATAAGAGAAATGCAGTAACAAAAAATTACGGAGGAAAACGTTATTCATAATTTATTTGGTGGTAAAGAACATTCTGACAAGCATTTTCGATATTGTGTATATTTAAGCAGTGTAAATGAGAATTACCACTGCAATTTTGAAGTATATGACCAACAGGAAATTTGTTCAGAAATTCCTATTCAAAAATTTGAACCATTTGTTAAAGAACTTTCTGATAATGGTATTGTTATGACAGATGAATTAATCCATGGGAAAGATAAATCATTAGAAACTGATCTGTTAATAGGAGCTGACGTTGCGAGTAAACTCTTTAATGGCAAAATAATACATTTGTTTTCCGTACTGGTAGCTATCGGAACACTGTTGGGATGGGCTTCAACCACTTGCGCTAAAAAGACTTGCCATGCACGTCAATATGCTTTTGTCTCAAACTGTGTGCAAAAATGAAAATAACGTGGTGCACATGTCGTATAACGACGAGATTGTTTATTTCTCAAGTTACAGCTCTTGATTGCACTCGCAGCTGCTGAGCAGAGTATATGAGACACTTTACTTGTTATATTGTCGCACACGGCACCACAACCGTGAAGTTTAGTTGTAGCGCAAGTGGTTAATAAGATACCTTATATTATAAATACTAATGCTAATTCTGCCATGATAGTGACAGATCAGCTTGTTAATGATGCCATGCTATCAGAACTGTGGAGACTTAATGTTATCGGAATAACAGATTCAGTTACAAAAAAGACGAGAGAGAAAAGGGATTTGCAAGCAAAATTGCAGTTCCAAAATTCTGTATCTCTAAACGAAGACGGGCGTTATGAAGTCGCACTTCCGTGGGTGGAGAATCATGTACCACTTTCCAACGACAAGGATTTGGCTTTGAAACGTTTACAGTCTACCACCCAGAAATTTCTATCGCAAAGTTTATTTTCTTCATACTATGCAGATTTTAATGACTGGTGTAACTTAGAAGAAGTTAAAGAAAATGCAGAGGTTGACTATAGACATTATTTGCTGCATAGACCGTTGATTAAAAAAAAAAAAACAAATAGCTCAACACCAATTCGACCGGTGTTTGATGCGTCTGCAAGGAAACAATCATCTCTTTCTCTAAATCAGTGTTTGGAGTGTGGACCAAATTTGATAGAACTAATTCCTTCTCTTTTGTTGAGATTTCATGAAGGAAAGTTTGCTACTATAGCAGACATTGAGAAGGCTTTCTTACAGATCAGTGTAAAGCCTCAAGATAGAGGTTGGCTTCGATTTTTCTGGTAGAATGATGTGGAAGAAAACGAAAATATTTCGTCGTACTAGAGTAGTATTTGGATTAAGAGTAGTCCTTTCCTTTTGGCATCTGTTATAGAATTCCATTCACAAAAGTACATGAAAAATTCTCAATATGATACGGATATGGTAGCTAAACTCTTGCACAGCTTCTACGTAGATAACGTTGTTGCCAGTTTTGACTATGAACGAGATGATCCAGTTCATCAAAAAATCTCGAGAAATAATGTATGAAGGAAAGTTAATCTTCGAGGTGGTTACGGAGATTATAAGATACCAGAGATTATAAGATACCGGATAATTATAAGAACTGTAGCTGAATATGTTTTATTTTAAAAGACATTCCCCTTCACTATTTACAGTACATCAACCAGTTTTTACTTGCACAGATTTTGCATAAGTTACTGCCTTTGTGGCTCTATGCCGGCTTTAATCACTTTAGCAGAAACTTGCCAGCCCTGATTTTAACTGAACTTCATCGGCAACCTTTTCTAACTACTATGCCCAGTAATACATCCATGAGACACATTTACAATTAGTTCTCATTATGAATAAATTGATATGCTGCTTGCTCACTGTGCTGAAACAAAACAAAAACAAAAGAAGAGGAATTTTTTGCCCAGTGATCTGCAGGCAAAATATTTAAATTTAGGTGTTAGCTAAATCACTAAAACTTTGTATACATGGTATTTGTTGATAGCCACATTTTTTTCCTGGTAAGTACACATTTTTTTTTTTTTACCCTATTATGCATTCGTTGCAACTGAATTTCAGCATATTTACTTGATTAAGAATATTGCAAAATACGAACATTTCTGATACAAGTTAAGAAATAGTACATATTATTTTTCTGGTTTCCTAGTAATTCATGTTTGTCATTTATTTTTAGCTTGTTACTTTCAATTTTTTTTTTAGTTTGTAATTTTAATTTATATTTGAAATTTCCAGTAATTCACATGCATTGCATTCAGTGCCCATTTTCATTTGGCGACATGAACTTTCATATCACCAAATGGAGACAACTTGCCATTGACTCACCCAAAAAAGACAAAGACAAAGAATGACTCACCAAAACTTAAATTCATTTTTAGGAGAATTTATGTGGTGGCAATATGCAGCACGAGATAAATTATTTTATTCTATTATAGCAACTACCAAGTAGAAATGTAATTCAAAGCATTTTCTCCAGAAGATGCTTCTTATATCTGACATTAAAAAAATATTAGTATGTTAGATAATAATCCAGTGATTATTTGCTTGAAAGACTCATAGAAAGCACTCAATAAGATGATGGAAAACTGGTTTATATTTATTTTACTTATGTGGATAAACAATTTCATACATTTGATTCACTGCCACCAGACCTTATGCCAACTTGTAAAAAAAAAAAAAAAAAAAAAAAAAAAAAAATTAAAAATCTTATAGTAGTTTTAATTTGAAACTTATACGGGCATAAAAAATTTTTTCGTCCCAAATAATGCGTTAAAAACCAGATAGTGATTTCTTAAAAGCTAAATTTTAGTAATTTTTTAAATTAACCATATTTTAACTAAACAATTCGTTACAATAAAAAAAGTACATTTATTACAAAACTGTGAACGATAAATATTTTCGCTTTAAAATTATTTATTCAACCTGTTTACTTATAATTTCATTTCGTAGTGTGGGAAAAAATCGATATAATTATTTTGAAACAAATACACAAATTTACGTATAATAAAGAGCTATCACAATACCTCTTTCGGATTGTCATAATATACACCTATACACCTTAAATTTGGAGCTAAAGAATGGGCTTCAGTGTACAACGAACTGCAATCTTTATGAGATCCCCGTACAAATTTGTACGCAACTTCCAGCTCTTGAAACGGCGGCCTACACGCTGTAACGTCTATGGAAAGGAACAGTCCAGAATACCACAACAAAATCAATATTGTTAATATGAGACAAAGTAAAAGTATTGGTATGAGGATCAAAATAACCTCAGCCGAATCCATACTTTTAACTAATTCGGAATCCATAATAGCGATTAAAATTGTAATTAACATTTTGTACGTTTTAACACTTCGACTTAAAATTTATTGACAATGACGGCAAAGTACACTGTTGCCAAGTGATGGTTACAATTTTATGCTTTATGTCATACATTGAACCAAGCGTTAGTTTTGCCCGTTAATTAAAGTCCAGTTTATTGGATGCAAAAAGATGCAGACCTCATTATGCTTATTAAATACCAGTTGAAATTCCTAAATTAGATTCCTCTTTTTAGTAACATTTGAAATTCCCCTTTTTAGTAACAAAATACTTGTAGTGACCCAGTTATTGCATGAGTAATATTTTTTTTTTTTTTTTTTCTTTTTAAATTTCAAGTACTTTATATTTTTTCATGAGCTTAATTATTTCGTAAAATTTACTTTAACGTTTTCTTAATAGTCATATTTATACATCTTTTATGCCAAAAGACAATAAGTAGTTATTCATTTTTATTAGCCCAAAGAGGAAATTTGCACAGAAGGGCTGTTAATTTCGTTTCGGCATTTTGCATTGATTCACTATAAACGGCGAATTACTTTTTAAATTGTTCACGGTATACCAGTTACTCCGTGTAGTAGAGTTCATCCATTCATTCATGAGGGCTTTCGTAAAAGAGAGAAAACTGGAATTGTCTATCTTGATACTGCCAAAGCCTTTGGCTTGACTTGGCACGACGAGCTTATTTACAAGTTCATGCGGCTTCGTTTTTCGGCCCAATTCATTAAAATTCTTAACTCATACTTGACAGGTAGATCCTTTCGAGTGCAAGTTAGCCAGGAATACTCAACTCCTCGTCCAATCTATGCCGGCGTCCATCAGGGACGTTTACTTTCGCCACAAATGTTCACCATATTTGTAAATGATATTTCTAAATCACCTAATGTCGATCTAGCTTTATATGCGGACGACGCAGCCATCATCTCTCCACACTGCAACATCACCACGGTAATCTCTGCACTACAGAATTATCTTTCAATCCTACAGCTTTGGCTGGGACTGTAGAAGAGGTAAATTAATATCGCAAAATGTGTTGCTACTTTATTTATCTGAGGAACTCACCCCAACTTGCAATTCTTCGGAGAACCATTTCTTTTGGTTCCTACTTATAAGTATTTAGGAGTGATACTTGATTCCTCGATTGATCATTTTCATCATATTTTAAACGGAACAAATATTTTCTCTAAAACTGATTTATCCAAAGCTTATTTTCAAATTTGCATTGCAGAGGAAGATAAATGTAAGACAGCTATCATCACTTCTTTCGGTTTGTACGAATTTAGTGTAATGAATTTTGGTTTAAAAAAGTTCCTGCAAATTCCAACGATTTATTCGAGAAGTTTTTAGAGGATTAGAATTAGTTTTTCCCGATTTAGACGATATACATATTGCATCCAGTACTCATGCAGAACACGAAAGTCACCTTAAATTAATTTTCGAAAGATTAAATACCTTTGGTTTAAAGATAAATATTTCAAAATATGTGTTCACTGTTCAACAAATTGAGATTTTAGGACATCTAGTTACACATCAGGGTTTCCGTTCCCTGCCAGAAAGAGTTCAATTTATTGCTAACTACGAACGACCAGAAACAATTCATGAACTTCGAACTTTTGTTGGAATACTTAAGTTTTATTGTGGTTACCTAAAAGATTCGGCAAAGAATAAAGCATTGTTACATAAATATCTTAAGAGAATTAAAAGATGGACAAACAGAAAATTTAATGGACTGAAGAAGTTGAGAAACAGTTTGAAAAGTGCAAGAATGACCTGGTGAACACTGCACAGTTGTCTTTTCCCAATTCTGAACTACCTCTGGCGTTATTTCTACAGATGCTTCAGATATGGCAATTGGCTCAGTGTTGCAACAATTCAAAACTCCTCTTGGAAACCTATACCATTTTTTTTTCTAAAAAATTAAACGATATTCTTCAAAAATATACCACCTACAATAGAGAATTGTTAAACATACACTGGTGTGCAAAAATTAAGGACGAGACGGTTTTTCAATATAACTTTGTACAAAAGCTTTTCCAAATCAACACATTTTCAATACCGTAAGATCCCCAATACGTAAGGACATGAGTAATGTAAGCAACGCTTACTAAAAGAGAAATCAGAGGGATAAAAAGAAGCTTTATCAAAAAAGTAGCATGGAGCGCAATGCGACTGAAGGCCGAAACATCCCTGTGATGGGTGTCCAGCAAGAAACATCCGGTCTTTAATAGGGGATATGATCTCCCCTGACTGCTAGGCAGGTTTCACAGCGTCTGCCTATGCTGAGAATGAGGGTGTCAATGAGTTGTTGAGGCATTGCTGCCCATTCGTCTTGCAGCGCCAATCGAAGCTCCGGAATCGTTACTGGTGGTAAGGTACGAGCTGCCAAGCGTCTGCCTAGAAAATTCCATACATGCTCGATGGGATTGAGATCCGGAGTGCCGGCCAATCCATACGTTCAATATCCTCACTCTCTAAGAGCTGTTCGGCAGCTACTGTGCGATGACATGGTGCATTGTCGTCCATGAAAAGGAACTACGGACCCATAGCGCCTCTAGAAAGACGCACATATGAAAGAAGAATCTCGTTACAATAACGGGTCCCGTTGACTGAACCTGCGTCGAAGATGTGAAGGTCTGTACGACTACCAAGCATGATGCCTCCCCAAACGAGAACACCGCCACCTCCCATACCTGTCCTTTCAATGATGTTCGAGGGATGATTGCGGCTTCCCCGCTCTCTCCAGATGAGTATGCGATGAGAATCGCTACTGAGACTGAATCTGCTCTCATCTGTAAAGAGTACTCGTCCCCATTTCATTGTCTCTCCGATTCCGGTGTTCCCGGCACCACAGAGAACGCCTTCTCCGATGGGCAGGCGTTAGAGGTATACACCGTACAGGGCGTCGTGCAAACAGACCACCACCGTCCAGTCTTCTGGCCACGGTAAAACGCAATATCGGTCGTCCAGTCTCCTGTGTCGTGTGTCTAGCGATTTCTCCTGCTGTCTGCCGCCTGTTTCTTCTGGCTTGTAAGGCAATATACCGGTCATCTGCGGGTGTGGTTCCTCGTGGACGACCACTACTAAACCCCCGGATAGCTGTTCCTGCAGTTTGAAATTGTCTCCAAAGTCGTGAAACGATGCTGTGAGCAATTCCGAACTCTGCAGCCACACTTGTCACACTGCGACCTTCCTCCAACTTCCCAATGATTCGACCTCGGGTAAAAGCATCCAGATGTCGTGTAACAGATTGATTATTCGCCATTTCTCGCTGAGGCAGCAACTCGGTGTGATTTTAACTGCTATACGCGTGCAATCTCTTTGCCAGAAATACTGAACTTACACCGACAATATGCTTTATACTACTCAGAACACTCCCCCATTACGTCTACCTGCATATCTGCGCATGTGCTACCGTACATCACCTTACTTACACTTATCTCATGATTGGTCTTTCTGTCCGCTCTGCCTCTTCGTTCAGCTGATATGCTAATTTTTCGACTTCGTCCTTAATTTTTGCACACCAGTGTATATCTTTCAGTTAGATACTTCAAGCATTATCTAGAAGGAAGGGTATGTACAATTTATACAGACCACAAACAAGACCTTTGATAAAAGACCTTTGATGCGCGCGATATTATTTTTATAATGTTTTAATAATGTTAATATTTTATAATGTTTTAATATTGTTTTTTATAATGTTTTAACGAAAACATTCTAGAAATTGAATATTATGATCCTGGAGACAAATAATATATGAATTAAAAAAAATCTACTCTTGCGCATTGATATATGGGTGGTGTTTGCACTGTGAAGCCAGCGCTCGTCTAAGACTTTGAAACTTACTGAGATGGTAGGGGAAAAAATTACCTTTTTCCGTGCGCGTTTCCAATAAATGACTATATTTGCGAATTAAAAGAAATGTAATTAAGAATTGTATTATATGTAATTTTTTTACATTATTTTACTAATTAAATCGTCAGAAAAAAAAAAGAAAAAATAAGCATTTATGAAATTTTTCTACTGCAGTGAAATGGGGAGGGGGCGCTCGGTCTTTTCGGCTTTGATACGAATCCTTCATTCTCCATTCGTAGTTATTTTATTCGTATCCCGTCTCAATCGATTTGTAAAATATTTTAAAATTAAATAAAAGTTTTACGCGATTTCTATTTTTAATTATAGCAAAATATATTTATATTTTATTTAAATATCCCAAAATGACTTCTAAAATCACAATACTAGCATAGGAAGCAAGTGTGAGAAAAATTTCTGGAAATGAAATACATTTTTACTGAGCAGGTGCATGTATTGTTTAGAAATAAAATAACTCTGTGGTTCAGAACTTCTTACCTACATCCGGGTAAAAATAAACATTCCTATTTGAAAGCAGGAAACACCATTGTGAAGAGCAGTAGTTTCAGGGCGCGATTACTGAGCCTCTGGGGAAAAAAACATTGTGACAAAGCGCTCTAGTGGCTCAGTAGTAGCACCCTGAAACCATAAAGCAAATGTCATAAATATACACAAGTTGTTTAGGTTCTTACGTATTAACGCAACCAGGCCAAAATTCGCATAAATCGCCAAATTTGGCGACCATACTTACGGCAACCCTACGTGTTATACGTAAAGTAAAGAAATCTTACTGGTTAGTTGAATGCCTGAAATTTAAACTTTTTGCAGAATTATTTTTTGGTTACTGTACCTAACAGAAGCGCCGTACCTCACGGAAAAAAATTGCGAAATATCAAGGAAAGAAGCATCATTATTCGGATTCTGGAAAGGAACATACAAGTGAGTTCGAAAATCTGGATTTCTGCATGGAACTGTAATCACAAATATAACTTTGTGGATCCCAACACGGGCTTCACACCAAACATAGAGGCATGTGGGGCTCGCCAAAGGCGCCAAGAACCGAGAGGACAGCCGTCGTCATCTTTACTCATACCTTATCGAATTTATATGGCGCCAAGCTCAAGCTGTTTAATGGCGAAGCGGTTTCAATAAGTGCTAAAAGCAATAGCAAAAGTTCCGCCGAAAAAATAATCTGCAACTTATTAAAATCGAA